CCCGGCTGTCCGCACAGAGGGCCCACCGTGCTGTCTGTGGCCCGCAGGGTGATGAGCTCGCAGCTCCTGGCACTGTTCCGGCTGCGCCCGGCCCTGGTGGTGGAGCTGGCCCGGGACCTGCTGCGGTTTGTGGGGAGTGTGAGCAGCATCGGCAGCCGGGACAGCATGTTTGAGGCCGTGGTGAGGTGCCGCCCGCCCACCCCGCCCCACCCCGCGGCCAAGCGCACCCCTGACGTTGTGTCCACGCAGGTGTGGGCCATCGGCGAGTACCTGGCAGTGACCCATGACCGGCGCTGCACAGTGGAGCAGGTCAACCGGTTCTTCGAGGCTCTGGAGGCCCTGCTCTTTGAGGTCACCCAGTCCCGTCGCTCCGCCACCCACCCCCCATGCCCACCACAGGTGGTCACTGTCCTCATGACCACGCTGACCAAGTTGGCGTCCCGCAGCCAGGACCTGATTCCCAGGTAGGGGGTCGGGGGGGGGGGGTTGATGTGGGGCAGGCAGGTTTCAGACACAGGGACGGGCTGTGGTGGGTGGGGACCCTGGGCACCCGCCTGAGCCGTAGTTGGGAGCTCGGGGGCATCCGTTTGACACCATTGTCCACCGATGACTGGGCCCACAGGGCCTCGCTGCTTCTGTCCAAGCTGAGGGCCCTCCCTCAGGGCCCAGCTGGGGGCCCCGGAGACGAGGACACGGACATCATCCGCACAAGAGCCACAGAGCTGACCAACCTGCTCAAGATGCCCAGCGTGGCCCAGTTCGTGTTCACACCGGTCACTGAGGCCACCACCCCACATGTCCACCGCAATGCCCACGCCAGCTTGCACCTTTCCCTGTGCACGGTCAGCCGATTGGTGGACAGAGAGGCCAGCCTCCTGCCCACATGAGAGCTGGGCTTCAGACTGGAGCCTGAGGACCAAGGCTAGGACCAGCCAGGCCTCCTGGGGAACGCAGACCTGTGTGACCTGTCCCCTCAGGTGGGCAGTCGACTCGAGGTGACAAGTCCTGAATGTGCCCGGGTCAGCAGGGAACCACTTCAGCCACGGCCTTGGGGATAAACCCCTACATCTGGGAGGAGTGCTGTCCTTGGACCCCCTCAGACAAGACAGGCAGCACTGCCGTGGAGAGGGAGGACGCCGGTGCCCTGTGGGGATGTGTGCGAATGGCTGAATGGAAGACTATTTGCTGTAGATGCTCATTTAAATCCCAATAAAAAGTGTAAAAATAAATGCATTTCCAGAAAAATGAAAAATTGTGTCCAAGCTCGGCTGTCCCTTCCCACCAAAGCCTGAGTAGTGGACCACAGCTGCAAAGCCAGGCAGCGCCCAGCTTGAGGGCAGGGGGCCGCGAGTCAGAGCCCATGAACAGGTCAGGTCCATGCCTCACCTTGAGGAGCCCCGAGTCTGGTCCACCCTATCCAATCCACCATCATCACCTCTGAGAGCTGGACACCGCAGGGGGGAGGTTCGAGGTGGCCCTGTGGCTCCCCGGGGCCCTGCATGCTGCCTCCCGGCAGGCGCTCTCTGGAAGGGCAGCTCCAGTGGAGGACATGGACACGGTGACCTGTGCACCGGCAGCTCCACCTATGACCTCCCAAGAGCCAAGGAGTGGCCAGTCTAAGCTTAACTCCAGACAAGTGGACTGTGCCCAGCCCTTCATGGAGATACTGTGGCCAGCCACTAGAGGGTGCCATGGACCACGCCACCAGCACCGTACTCAGCCCTGCCCACTAGGCCCTTGTCTGGTCACCCTGACCCCTGCCGCAGTCCAGGCTCTGGCCACCCAAGGCCATTCTCCACTTTCCAGTCCTCTGTAGGAGGCTGCCTGGGAGGAGACGCAAACAGTGTAGCTTTGGGTTGGTAGCTCCAGTCCCTCACCCATCAGGCCACGAGAGCTCTAGGCCAGCTCTGTCCCGGAAGGGGTGAAGCCAGGCTGCTCCGTGGAGGCAAGGACTTTGAAACCCCGTCTCATGTATGTCGGTCTTGCTGTCAAGAGGGATCAGACCTTGGAGAAGGACATCATATTTGGGGTTGGAAGGGTAGAGGGTCAGCACAGGAAAGGAAGCCCCTGAGATGGATGGACATAGGATCTGGAAGTGGGGTCAGGTGTGTCAGAGATGGTGAGGTTTGCTCAGGATAAAGCAGCGTTCAGAGCTGTTCACAGGGTCACTGTGAGTCATCGTCGACTCGACAGGAGGCTGGCGGGGTCCAAGGACCCTGCGCCCCAGGGGAGGGGACCCTGTGCCCCAGGGGAGGGTATGCCTGGGTAACGTCCCCTGGGGAACGGCCAAGACGACCCTGCGCCCCACACAGCAGCACTGTCCTGTGGGTAGGAAAGATAGTTTATTGGATCCGCCCGCCCCGTAAACTGTAAACATGAAGGCTCCGTTCCAAACACTGCCCTGGTGCTCGGCGAAAGAAAACCAGAACACGATTCCGAGGCACCACCCAAGGCAATGGGTCCGGCACAGAAGCTGCTGCGCTTAGTGGACACCGGATGTGGGGGCCATGCTAGGAGGGGGCCGCACGGAAATGGACTTTCCTCGCTGTCTCGGGGTCTGACTTGGCAACCAGAAAGCGCATCTTCTTGCCACCGCTGCGGATCAGGTCTATGGCCCTGGAACACAGGCGAGGGGGAGGGAGACGGGACTGGATGCGTCACCGAGGCTGCTGGGCCCTGGCTGCACCTTGAACCCACAACATGGCCACTATGTGTGTGTGATGTGCTGTGACAGGGGCTTCAAGGGCAGGCAGCACCACCACTGGCTGGCCTCTGACATCCCCGGAGCAGAGGCCACGCAGGGGCTAAGGGCAGTGACCGGCACAGGGCTGGATGTGTCCCCATGGGCCCCAAGGTGGCTAGGTGCCGGCTGGTACCTCAGGTAGCTGACTCCTGCCAGGCTGGTTCCGTCCACATCCAGGATCCGGTCCCCCAGCGAGAGCCGGCCATCACAGGCTGCAGGGCTGCCAGGCAGCAGTGTCTGGATGTAGAGGCCAGGGACTCCCAAGGGTGTGTGCTGGGAACAGGGCAGAGACCAGCTGAAGTGACCAACAAGCCCCAGTGTCTCGAGAAGTACCAGTGGCCCATGACAGATGATGAGGGTGTAAGTCATGAGAGGAGGGGCAGGGCAGGTTACCCTCCTTGACCCTCAGCCTTTGAGAGTGGCTCTCACGCCAGGGCCCCTGCCCAGGGGACACTCACCATGCCGTCCACCAGGCCCATGCCCAGCCCGGAGGGGCCCCGTTCCAGCTCCACGACCACCACCGAGGGGCAGAGGGAGGCATGGGGGACGTCGGGGCTGGAGCTACGGCTGGAGGACGAGTCCTCGGGGGCTTGGGGGCCTCCTGTGAGAGATGGGGGCCGTAGGTACAGAGCAGGGCTGCGGGGCTGAGAGCAACCTCCCCCATTCACAGGCCCCCAGTGTTACCTCCCCAGGTGTCACCCTCCTGCCACTGGGCTCTGCCAGCTCCGGTCCAGCCCGACACAGCTGCCCACACCTGGCCCTGGGCCCCACCCCAGCAGGCAGCCCACCTGACTAGCACTACACCTGGAGGGATGTGGTCCTTCACAAGGGGCACACTGCTGACCTGGTGCAGCCCCACCTGGCCCCATCCAGGTCCCTGTGGGTCCCTCAGACAGACAACACCCCTTCCTGTCCGGACCCCAGGAGCTGGGGCCACACGTCTGCTGAAGTTACAAGGTGGGGTCACTGACCCAGCAGGATCTCACTGGGCCTGAGACACAGGGCCTCATGCAGGGTTGGGGTGCTGCATGCTCAGGGCAGCCTCACCTTCCTGGGGTGCACCTTGGGGGCTGAGGTCACCCTTCTTCACCTGAGAGGGCTCAAACCAGTCATGAGTGGGGGGCTCAAGGTCCAGTGGGGTGCTGGGTGGAGTCAGGAGGCACGAGGAGGTGTCAGCAGGTGGAGGACCCCTGCGGCTGGGCTGCCTCTCTGGCACACCCCTGTTCCTGCTACCATGTGGTCTAGAGTCCCGGAGAGTCTTGGGGTTCCGGGAAGCTGCAGGGCCATGCTGACCCTCGGCAGGACCCTCTGGAATAGTGTGGTACAGGCCCTGGGGAAGAGAGAGCAACAGGCTGCAGCCAGCGTCCAGTGACCACAGCCTACTGAGCAGAGAGACTGACAGTCGTGTAGGGCACTGTGGCCCTAAGGCTGTCACCTGCCTAGAAGGAAGGGCTGTGGAATGTCAGTGGGGGCTAGCAACAGCTGGCCCAAAGGCTCAATGCAGGAGGGGGCTGAGAGCTTCTGGGATGGCTGTGTGGCAGACCCTGCAGGTCCTCCCCGGTGCTGCAGGTCCTCTTTCACATGCAGGCCCTCCCCAGCTTTGCAGACCCTCCCTGACCCTGCAGACCCTCCTCAGTCCTGCAGGCCCTCCCCAGCCCTGCAGGCCCTCCCTGACCCTGTAGGTCCTCCCCAACCCTGCAGGCCCTCTTTCACATGCAGGCCCTCCCCAGCCCTGCAGGCCCTCCCTGACCCTGTAGGTCCTCCCCGACCTTGCAGGCCCTCTCTCACATGCAGGCCCTCATCTGGTTGACCGCTCTCTTCCGGCCACCCTGCTATGCACACCTGCCAGCTCAGGAGGCTCAGCTAGAGGGCACAGTTGACACTTGCAGATAAGGAACCGCCCACCTCTTCTGGCCACTGACACTAAGAGCTAGTGTCTGACTCATGCCAACCAATCAGAACCTCTCCTAAGGCCTCTTCCAGGCTCAGGACTGTGGTGAAGAAGTTCTGACCACAAGGGTAGGCTGCCGCTACATAAACCACCCCCAGAGCCAAACCATGCCCAGGGCAAGCCCTGTCCCACCTCCAGACACTCTGCAGGTGGGGGCCCACTGCCACGGCCAGCTCGGCTCTGCAGACCCCACACAAAGTGGCGGACGTAAAGCAGGTGCTGGTAGATGCTGTCGTCCAGTCGGTCCACCTCCAGGTCCACCTGGAAGCCATCACTGGGCAGAACGATGGGCGGGGGGTTCTCGTACGACTCCAGGACGTCGTCTGTGAGGAGGGGGGCTGTGCCGGCCTGGCCGGGTCTGCCGCCCTACCCAGGCTCCCACACCCCCGCCCTCATGGAATCCCAGGCAGCTGAGGGAGTGAGTGCAGCCAGGCTCCTGGTCCGTCACCTCCAAGGAGCCACAGGAGAGCAAAGCCAGGCCCGGCTCTCAGCCGGGACCTCCCTTCCCTGTCCTGCCCAAAGCTACATTTGATGGAGTTGGGGTGCTCGCTGCCCCTTGTACCCCACAGGGCTTGTCACTGGGTGCCATGGCTGTCTGCGTTTGGTCTCTGCTCATCCAGAGACAGGGAAGGTCACCCTCCTCTCCTGGCTGAACCCCAGTTCCCCCATGGCAGGCCTGGGATGTCAGGCCTCCTGGGTGTTAGGTAGGACAATCACAGACGGCCTGTGCCCAAGGAACAAGGGCTCAGAAGGTCCCTGAAGTCCTCCTGGGATCTGTCTGCTTCTGTCTGCACTTCTAGTCCTTGTTCACATGTCAGGATGCACATCACACTGCCGTAGGATGTGAGCACATGCAATGCACACACATACACACAAGCAGCACGTGTGCTCCTGCCTTCTGTCATGTGTGTATTCAGACCCATGGGGAGACATCATTCTCCTGGGTCGCTGGGCAGTGCTGCTGCAGGCGTGTCCCCAGGCACCGTGAGAGGAAGAAGACCTCTGACCTCAGCCTGGACACTGGAATTTAGCCACAGCTGAGGACACCCTGGTGGCACGAGAGCCTCATGTCCCCATGGGCAAGGAGGACTGGGGCTCTCAGAAGCTCAGTGGGCTGGGCCTGCTGCCCCTGCTGGCTTCTGGGGACACCCCACACCCCACCCAATGCTGGCTCACCAGACTTGCAGGCGTCAGGGGCGTCTGGGGCACTCGGCTCCCAGGCACTCGTGGGGCCCATGGCCGAGGCCAGCTGGTACTGGGTCAACAGCCGGTGGAGCTGCGCTGGGCGCAGGGCAGGAAAGGTAGCCCGCAGTGTGGCCCAGGTCATCTGGACAGAGCAGTAGGGCAGGCATCCAGTGGCCTGTGTCATCTGCCATCACCACGTCCCCTCGCCCATCTGTGGGCTACCACACTCCCAGGCCCCTCTCCCAGGACACTGCTTTGCCCATCTCAGGGGGTCACCGTGGAAACCACTTTGCACCTGGGAGGGGGAATCTCCTGGCCCTGAGCTCAGTCCTCCAGGGACCCCACCCGAGCCTTAGTGCCACCATCAGCCAGACCCACTGCACCCCTCCCCACCTACCTGGACGAGCTGGGCACTGGGCGTGGACAACAGGTTGAGCGTGCAGGAAAGCTTCCGGAAGAACTGCTCACCTGTGGCCCCCAAGCCAGCACCCCTCACCCACTCCAGGAGCTGCTGCAGCCGGGCGAAGGCCTGCACACCCTTGGGCCAGTGGAAGCAGCTCAGCGAGGGACCTGGGGGCATGCCCACAGTTGTCTCCACAAGCTCTCCTCTCTCCCGCATCCCTACAGCTTCTGTCCCCCAAGTCCTCCTCAGTCCCTCACTCAGCCCCACACTATCAAGGCCAGGACCCACGGGCAGGGGCAGGCTGGGCCAGGGCAGAAGTCAGGGTACAGTGAAGGATGAGGTGAGATCAGAAGTCAGAGCTGCAGTGAGGAATGGGGTGAGGTCAGAGGTCAGGGCTGCAGGGCAGGTCAACCTAGCAAGGAACTGGGTGACAAGAGGCACCTGGGCGCATCTGCCTCTGTCCTGCAGGCCCAGCCCTGCACTCATGGCCCCAGCCCCGCTCTCAGGGGGCCCAGCCCCGCACTCACGGGCCCCAACCCCGCACTCAGGGGGCCTAGCCCCGCACTCACGGTCCCAACCCCGCACTCATGGCCCCAGCCCCACTCTCAGGGGGCCCACCCCCACACTCAGAGGCCCCAGCCGGCTCTCCCGGGCCCCTCACCCTTGTCCAGGAGCTGGTTGAAGAGCAGGGTGCTGGAGAAGAAGAGGAGGTAGGCCAGCATCTGGGTGGCGATCTCGGGATGCACCTGGAACTGGCGCAGGAGGTCCAGCGTGGCCTGGTAGATGGCCACGACGCGGCGCAGCTCCTCGGGGAGGCGGGGACCTGGGCTCCAGCTGTCGCGGCGCTCGGCGGGGAATGGGGGGCACTCGAGGAGAGCGGGCAGGCACGCATACAGGGACTGGGCCGGGCAGCAAGCAGCCTCGTTACAAGGGCCCCTCTGCCCTGCGGGCCCTGCCCTGCGGGCTGAGCACAGGCCCCGCCTCACCTTGGAGATGTAGTAGACGCACTGCTGGAAGGCATACAGGATCACCTCCTCCAGCACCGCCATGGCCTCCTCGCTGGCTGTCAGTGCACAGGACAGCAGCGACTCCCTGGACCCTGAGGACCCAGAGTGCATGGTGGCCCAGTGGCCTCATTACCACACAGGAGCAGTGTCTCGGGGCCTGCTTGGGTCTGGAGGGAGGGATGCTGGTCCTGGACAAGGGGGCACAGAGCCCAGCCTGTCCTCGCATGTGGCGTGAGATGCGTGCTGACCAACATCTCCACATGGAGGTCAGAGCACTCGCCTGAGGCCTCCTCAAACGCTGTTCTCCAAGGAAGACACCCCAACCCCGGGGGCTTCAAGGACAGAGCAGAGGGGGCCTCTGACAGGGGCGAAGGCGCCAGGGCGGACACAGGACCCCTCGCTCGATGGGAGCGACCCCGCTCTAGGACTCCCCCACACGTCCTCCTCACCTGTGCCGTCCAGCGCCTCCTCCATGCTCTGCACGTAGAGCGGGCCCTTCTGCTGCAGGAAGTAGAGGAGCTCCACCGAGTTCGCCATCCAGAAGAGGATGTGCTGCAGGTCGGGGGCCAGGTCGGCCATGGTCAGGCTGGACAGGGAGGCTGGCTCCTGGCTGCAGGCAGGGAGACTGGTCAGGGCTGGCCCTGCGCCTGCCATGGTGCCCGCACCTGCAGCCTGCCCAGCAGGCACAGGCCACCAGCAGGCTAGGAGTCTACAGAGACGCTGTTCTACGTGTGGGGGTGCGAGCAGAAGCTCCGGTACAACACTGAAGTGCTCAGCCGTGAATGGAAAGGTCTTCGGTTCAAGCCCACGTCGGATTCAAGGATGAATCACTATCAGAAATCCTGCCAACGGCGAACCTCAACTCCAAACCAACGGAGCAAAACCACCGGGGAGTCAGACTCAGCAAGAGCGTCCAGCAAAGCGACAGACCCTGACACCAGAGAGACCAGCACCGAGGGCGGCAGCGACACCGCGCCATGCTGGGGGGACATGGTGGAGGGGCCCCTGGTCACTGAGCTGAGACACTCAGAATCCAGCAGTGATCGCCGCCCCCCTCCCCCCTGGGAGGATGGACTCACTGCAGAGCTGCTGAGAAATGCAGATCGGGAGACAGCTAGAAAGGCCCCGGGGGGACATACGTGTGGACACATGAAGACGTGGGTGGAGGGATAGCAGTGGACAGTGGGGGACCCTGGTGGGAGAGCTCCCTCACAGACGAGGCCAGTGCCCACCACAGGAAGGTATCCTCAGGGGCACAGTCCAGGCGCTGGGGGTCAAAGGGCAGGCCCGCTTCCAGCTCCACATATCCAACAGGCAGCAGGCCTATTCCCATGCCCCAGCAGCCAGGGGTCAGGGTGGGAACAGTGTCACCGCAGACAAACTCTGGACAAAGGGCCAGGCCTCCCTCCCTCCCTGCCCCTCCCCTCCTGGGTCCTGCTGACAGGCGGTCTGGCTTTGGTGCAGGACTGAGGGGAGGGGCTGGTGAGGGACTGGGCCAGGGTCAGCCCCCCTTGACCCCAGGGAGGAATTTTCCAGGCAGGAGGAGAGCAGGGCGCAGGATGGCTATGGAAACCCGAGAGCAGTTTGTCTCCATCACTGGGCAGAGCTGGGCATCGGGAGGGGCCCTGACCACCCCCAGGGGAGGCACGTGCTGTGGAGGGGGCTTGCTGC